CCGGTTTGCCGAAGGTGCTGACTGTTCTGCGGTGCATTTTGACGACTTGGTGGGGGGGGGGTCTTTTTTGCTACTTCCCATCGACGGGCCGACCTACCTATTTAGGCAGCCTCTTCTCGAGTTGACAGGTTTTACCATGATGGCTAGATGAGCTTGCTCCAGCTTCACAAGAGTTCACAGGTTTCGCCAGAGTGAGACTTGTAAACCGGAACTAGGGAAGCAAGTGATAGTACAAAATGACCCCTGCCCCGTCGTCAAACTGCGCCAACGATCGGCGCTATTTGGCCTTGTAGGGCATTTTGCACTTTCGCTAGTTTCTTTTGCTAGGCCATGTTAACTAACAGGTCCCACTCTGGTAAGACCTGTGAAATTTTGCGAATGGCGAAAGAGAACCACCGTGGTGATAAAAATATACAAATCTTCGCAAGCTGTCCTCTATAAGCTTTATTCAGTATCGCTTGGTGCCCCCCCCCACCAAGTCGAATAGCGCTAAACGATCTGTCAGAAAGAGCAAGACGTTTCTTGGCCTATTATCCAAATCGCGTTACTTCACATACAGCTGATATCGTCGCAGTTCGTTGGGACATGGTGAGGAGGCTTGGAATGAGCCCGCTCGCGACTGCGTTTTCTACCAATAGTGGTTGGTTTGGATAGGAACAACCAGCCAGCATTGGTGGAAAACACTGCCGTGGGTGACCTCATTCATGACTCTTGACACCACCCGGCCATACTGCGACGATATAAACTGCAGCATTCTGAAGAAGTTTTGTTTCCTTATAAGCCTCTATTGTGCTACTTGTCAATTATAGCGGAATGGCTTGCAGGCCAGGGAATATCTTTCAGTATTAGGGAGATTTATGTTGTTTTTGGGCGCGGTGGGAAAATACTCAGTCAGCTTGCTCCAATGCTTTAGTGTCGTATAACTCAACGGAATTCTAAATCAATCCGTGAATCCCACTGAAGACCACGGCACCGATCAAAGTGTAGGCTAAGCGGTAGTGCAGTTGGAAGGGGGCACGCGTCGAGCAAGATCGCACCGACTTCGGTCGTCTGCGCTCTGGGGGCTAAACTTGGTGGGGAAATGGTCACCGTAACGGTGTAAGGGCGCGAACGAGCACACCTAATCGCTTTTGCTTTATCCTTCCTTCCCCCCCACCCCGAAACTGCACTAGAGCTTGGACTGATGACTGCTAAATTCTGGGTTCAAGAGATGACAATTTCAGTTACCAGTGAATGCCTTTGACATCCCACGATGTTATGCTGACGATCTGGCAGCTGTTGTTATAACTGAAGGACTCATTCGCGATCGAGTCAGGCGATTAGCAAAAGGTACACTCTCTGAATTATTCTTTACTCAACTTCGAGAAGAAAGGTGATTGAGAGGTATTATGACGCTATCCCATTTTTAAAGTCGGATGACTCGTCGGGGGTCACCAAACCGCAGGCTTCTGGTAGATTTGTCAGGAGACGTCCTAATTCAGCTACGGGAGTATTGAAGCCACCTCTGAGGGTTGCTTGAGCCGACGCAGAAGCATGCGGTGACACGACTAAGCGTGCTAGTTTATGCCCTCTCACTGAGGTAGCGGCGCCTACCCAAACAAACTCCGTTTAGGAAGCGCAGG